GAACCCAAATTCAAGGTGGTGTCTAGAGGAGACGTTACCGGCTATTTTGTTAGCGTAATGAATAACTTTGCCAATAAACATGAAGCTACCGACTCGAAACCTTTTTAACAGTTTTGATTGAATTTCATGGATACTCAAGTACTCGTTCAGTCGTTAAAAGTTATCGATATGAACACTGCGGTTGCTCATTTTCCTGAGCTGTGAAATTTATACCTAATGAAGAATAAATAAGTTTTTGATTTTGTGTAACAGTTGCTTTGTAAAGCTATCCTTTTATCAGATAAGGGTGATAGGTACAACAAAATACATAATATAAAGGAATTCACAATAAACGTTTTACATAACAAACGGGCGGGGTCTAAAACAAAAGGCGACGGCGCCACCTTCTGTGAGTGGTTCACAATATCACACAATAGACAAAACAGTCAAGTTAATGTTTTATTTGCAGTGAGATACTAACCTCTTCGTTGAGATTGGAGACGAGGAGCACTGTGGCCAGTGGCAACGGGGGTGCGGCAAGGGCTCGCAGGGCAGGAGAGGCTGGAGTTAGAGTAAGTGCCCCGAAAGCTGGCAGCCCAACTCCGCCAACACCGACGCCGTAGGGTGAGGCTAGGCCTGAACCGAGGCCCAAGAAAGGTGGTGCCAATACCCCACCACCTGATAAAAAAAATGTTGATTCTTGTGGATCCAATCGAATACACGAGTCTTCACATCATAGAAATCCGTATATCTAAATGTCCAATGACATAGGCACGACATTTCTATCTCACATATTCTAAGCAACGAAAATTTCCTTCGAAATAATGTTAATTTTTTACCAGTACCTACGAAATGAACATGCACGAACAATAATCATAAAATCACAAATAAAAACTTTCCTTACAAGGCAGGCACATTAGACAACAAAAGTAACGAATCCGAATGATCCCCGCATATTATGTACAATCCTCTACGGTGCAATACGGATTTACGAGAAGTTATTAGTCACTGCGGGAATATTTAGCATTGAATTATGAATGGCAAACAAGAAAAGAGCTAATGTGAAATGGCAAATGTAATTTAGAAATGCTGCTCTTGTGTGATTCGGTGTCGGAGATTTATTTCGTTTGCAGAATGGCTACTTAAATACACATTTATGAACGTTCCTACGCAAAACAAAATATCGAAAGCATGGCCATTTTAAATAAGAGCATATTAATGGCAAAATAACATCAATTAAACCAACATACAATTAATTCTAAACATCTAACCTTTCAAAATTTTCAATTCGTTATTAATAAGGTGCACGAAAGTAAAAAAATATAGTATAAAATGTCAAGATGCTACAAAGAGTTCAGATTGAGCGTGTGAAGCATCCATTATTTGGGATCAGGTAGAGAAGACAATGGACAAACACTACTGTTGATTCATTCGCTCGACAGAGACTACGGGGTGTGCGAGCGAAATGGAGCGGTGGAAGCGTCCAGGTGCTCGGGATTAGTATGGGACTAACTCATCCTGGAGGTGAGGGCCAGGGCGAGGCGAGCCCGCAGTGGCATCAACTCACTGGTCAACAGCTGGTGCGCCTCGCCGTCGCCGGAGGGCAGCGTCGGGTTGGTGTAGTCCCGCGATTTGTCGTTGTTGTACTTCACGTTGAGGCACGTCATCTTTGAATAGTCGATGCGGAGCGTGCAGCACCCGTTGTAGATGTTCTGCCCATCTAAAGCCTGCGAAACAAAGTTCATTGCTAGAATTTGGATGAAAATATCTACAGTAAATAGAAGTTCTGTCCTTGTGGCATAAAAATTTTGAGCCATCAATTAAATTGGTACTCTTTGAGGCTACTTTTAAGTTTTAACCTTCCTCTTTTTCTTCCGGTATTGAGAACGAAGAAGAGCTCAGCAGAATTAACTACTAGTTAAGGGTCGTATTCCAAAACTCTGACTTGAGTATTGCATTGAGCACTGAAAATCATACTCAAGTTTGCCATTAGGGTCGTATTTCCAGCGCTTGAAATCATACTCAAGTTTGCTCAAGTCTTGACTTGAGCATTGAGTAGAGTTCTGGAATACAACCCTAAGAGTTCGTTAGAGTCTATATATGCATTAACGACGAAGAAAAATCAGTATAGGCGTGTCAAAACGGTTAACGTTCTGGTGCGCAACAGCTATTTGTTTGCCCGCGACGCCTGCGGGCGGCTGATAACACCGCATCGCGATAGAAAAGAGAATTAATTAAAATGCAACACCACTCAACCCATTCCTGCGCGCTTTATGCTCTTGGCCTGCCGCAGCGTACACGTTATTTTTATAATGAAAGCGCGATGTAACACATTTTCTTATATTTAAAAACGGGAATAAAGGTATGAAAGCGATGCCTCTTCTTCCATTAAAATGTATCTAATTATATTTGAAAATTGTGGTCCAGGAGTTGATTGGTCGTGTAAGGACGCCATACAGAATGATTAAAATAGAATTTTTTACACCGTTAAATATATAATAATGTCCTGAGAGTAACACAAAGGCGACAAACCTCGTCATAGTTATTCAAACGGTTTAACTTTCGTACTGCGGGCGCTTCCTACGAAGCCGTTTCATTAGGACCGTCAACTTCGCCGGCGGCCAACTCTCTTAATCGAAATTATTAATTCAACCAATTAACAACACTGTTTTCACGAATAATGAAAGTATTTTCAAAGAATCAAAGGGCTTACGGAATCGTATTAAAAGATTTGTCGAAATTTGTTCAGGACGAAGTAAATTAGAATAAGTAATAAGTAGGTATAGATCTAAATAAACGGCTTTACAATTTATGATAAAATTAAAACCCTAGAGAATATTCTAATAGAACAAAGGAATTAAAAATTAAGACCATAAATTACATAATACCGAGAGTGAATTAGAGTTTTCTTTGTAAGCCGTCATCTGTCAAATAAATTGTGACATCTTTAAGATGGAGGCCGGAGCCCATTAGCTGAAACGTTTTGGGTTTTTAAAAAGTGGAAGAACCTCTTTAGAAAAGGTAAGCTTCTTTATTTCTTATAACAACTGAATTCACGCAAACAGTAAATTGTCGGAAATAAATCAAGCAGTTCCAATTTGTAAGTAACGTTGGGATACCTCTTTTACAATCCGATAAAAATATCGAGAGGATGCAAGAGTTCGATGTCGGAACGCTGGATATTGGCTGTAGATTTAATAAATTTCTGTTCTATATGCAAATGCGACCCCCTGATGTGTAGACGTGAATAGATTGGTTCGTTTAAAGCTCAACTTATATGGAAATGCGAGAGGCATATAAGAAAGTGTGGAAGAAGATCGGTTCGATACATAATTAGTTTTGTAGGCTCTCGCAAGATGAATTCGATTTCGCGGATGCCGAATGTGCGCGAACGTAACGAGTAATTAATTTACAATTCTAATTTATATTTCCTTAATGCATTGGTATCGTTAAAACAAAATTTTAAAAGTCAAATAGGGTGTATTAGGACGTGTACAGCGAACGATGTAAGAGCCTTCCCTTGCACCTACTATGTTGGATAATTCTTAACAACTTTTTTCGGTTCAAGTGATTATTCATTCAATATTTTGATTTAATTAACAGTTAAACAAAGAAACGATAAGACGGAATCCCTTGTAATATTTATTGTATCGTTGAAAGATAATGCTTCCAAATGAACGAAACGGATAAAAGCGTAAGAGGATAACACAGATTTTGAATTGTAGATTAATTTCTTTACTTTTTATACCAAAGTTCTTTTAAAGGCTCTTTGAAAAGTCTACCGTTATTCTGGAAATTGAGTTGGTAATAAAAAGTAGAATTATGAAGTCAAATGTAACTATTTATTTTGATATCAAAGTCATCAGACGGAATACAGAAAGTAGATTAGAGATACAAAAATATTATACAGAAAAACCAAGAGAGAGAAAAAAAGAGAAACTATTAACATATTACAATTTAGCATAAAACTGTCGAAAGCACCACTAACTATTTACCGTTATTGCTGTGCAGCCTGCATGACCGAACAATAGCGAATTGAAACTACCGCCGTTAAATTCTTACTACCCAACAGTATTTATAAGGAATGCGGCACCCTCCCTCTCAGTATCAATATTCGCGGGAATTTCATTTTAATCTTCTGAAACGGTTATTTGCCTTCGCGGAGGGAATCGTAATTGAGGTAAAAAAATATTAGGAGGAGTGACAAGGTGATAAAACGACAAACGCCACGCCCGATTTGATGTTGAGATCTTTTACTGCGTAATATGAAAATCGGATTGTCAATGCCCCTGAAAAGATTTCTTTGGGATTCATTGATCTGGAGACGTGACTAATGAAAAAGTTCGAATTTACTCGTATGAATACTTTTGAATAAGTTTTGTTACAAAGGCGGTGGTTTCGAAAGTTCTAAAACACGAATAAAATCACGGGAAAGGAGGAGTTGCCTATCACGATACATACAGATAGTCAATCTGCTACAGCAATAGCCCTAACTCGGTGCAACATCAGCAGACAAAACCTGTTGATATTCGATATCATTTTATTAGAGAAGCATTAGAAAACGATACTATAAACCTCAAGTATTTAGAAACTAAGTCCATGGTAGCTGACGCTTTAACGAAAGCAGTGTCAAAGGGCAAGTATGAGTTTTGCCGTAGAGAACTGGGTGTATATGACTGACAAGGTTTTATTGATAGCGTAAGGAAAGCCAGGTGTAAATAATTGAGGAGGAGTGTCAAACCACGGATGTACAATCTTTTACACACTGGCCGGTGTGACCTTGATAGTTTTTCAAATTTATTTTGTCGTCTCGTAGAACTATCTTCATGCCATGTTGATTATTTACATTTTTTCACGTTATATATATTTTAATAAAAACCTTTGATAAAATATTAAAATCAGTTTTCTCATTTATTGATAGAGCCGGTCTCTATCACAGTTGACGTCTCGTCGTTTCGTTTGAAGTGATTAGTTAGTTATCATCATCACATCGAAACTTTCTAGCAGCAGCCTAGTAAGTAGAAAAATGGTTTCTGAATGGACGTTAGCCGTTTATTTCGGAATATGAACAAATAGCCGCTTATTTGTAGAGCGTCAACACCAAAAATCACTGAGTTGAGCAAGCAGATCCCGAGAGCAGACTGTCGGGCAACAGCGTAAGACGTAACAAGTGTCCTCCGTATCTCTTAATCACGTCCCCGGTAATTGTTTTATCTTTAGCTCGTTAGAACTCGTTTAAGCAAAGCCTTCTTAGTGAAGGATTAAGTGCGGTCCGCCTTAATCCACCCCCCGCTGCTAATTCTGGTGGTTTTTCCACGGAGGCCAAATAAACGTTTTTGTTAGAGGTCCCGCTCACCGCGTTTAATATTTATAAGAGGTGCATTCGAGTGCTTCGGTTGTGGGTGCAAGGATTATGGCGACGCCAAAATGCATTCGGGTTGTGTGAGTACATGACGAGACGGAGATATTGTAAATGAAAACATTTCAGAGACAGAGTGAGTTTTTGTATTCACCGCTGCCGTGAGCCGCGATCTTTTTATTAGGAGCGCATGTGAAGAGAATACGTTCTAGAATAATTTCGTAATACAGTTTCCGTATACCAATGACTATTATATGTAATGAAATCTTGTATTGTTTACTCTTTATTTCTGGCCTTTTAAAGTAAATAAATGTAAAAAATGTTTTGGCTGTTTTCAGTGTTTTTTCTACTTTCTAGGGGGTGGGCAAAATAAAATCATTTATTACAGTTCACTCAAGTCTTAATGGTCTAGCTGGTCTTACTTTGTTTTCGGAGTACGAACATTTCTATCAATTGTTTAATTGATCGGTGACGACCTGCAGCTTTGTTGCAGAGGAGAGAGGTGGGGTGTTCCATTAGTCACGGATAAAAGATCACTTATCCGATAGCCTGGCCACTCGCTGCACTCAAAACAAACACTACTCAGAGAACTGCTTTTAGCTATTATTGAAAAAAAAACAAATTGGTAAAAACAGCACTTATTCCATTGGCTTTTTGTGCAAATGAACATTTCATGCGACATGATAAATCGCCAGTATTTTTTATCAGCAGGCACCTAATGGAATCTTATTTAGAATGTACGGTAGACTACACCTATAAATATATTATAATCTGTGAAAATTATTTGCGAAAGCGAATTTTAATTTACGTCGGTTACCTAAAGTCAATATAGCGTTCAAATTCGCAGTGACAGTTTCTATAGCTTAATATGTAGCCGAGTGTATTATAAAAGTTGCTACTCCAAATATATGAATTAGTTTATTCCAACTTTGGTTTTCAACTTGAACATTGTAAACTTTGAACAAGAACAGACATAAACGAACGAAAGTTTTAGAAACAAAAACATTCAACTATAAATTGGGGCACTTTCACTACCTATCACAATTAGGGTGTGTACACATTCTGGCGCGTCACCGAGCAAACGACGCTTGCTCCATTAGACAATGTAATTAATACTCGAGGTTACCCTAATTGTGGGTGACAGATAGTGACGACCGAAACCGAGTCGACGATCGTTCAAAAACCACACCTGTAACCTAATTGAGTTACTCAGTGGTATTACGACAGCAAGCTTGATAAAGCATCCGTGATAGGCATCCATTGCGTCTATCGCAACTATCTTCGACGTTTGGGATAACGTGTTTGATAGGAACGCTAAAGTTAGGTTGATTTTAATTCATTACGTTAGTCCACAAGAGAAGTATCATG